GATTTCCAGCGGGTCCCCAGGGGCCTCTCCGCGCCCAGATCTCTCAGAGGCTGGAAGGGGGGTGGGTGGGGGTGTCTGAACCAGGAGGGTGTGAGCATCGAGGGACTAATGGAACCTGCGGCGGGAAGTGGGGTGGAGGTGGGGTGGAGGTTTGATCTGGGGGGTGCGTGGGCAGGGTAGACACCATTTCCAGGCTAGGAAACCCTGTGTCCAGTTGAAGAATAGCCATCAGGATCTACTCGTGCGTTTTGAGGTGGGCTCAGAGGTCAGAGGGGCTCAGCAGGCCCGAGATGCATGTTTAACAAGTACTGCACCTCCAAGAGATTGTGATGCGGGAGGTTTGTAAGTGAGCAAGGAGCAGCCCCGTGTTGGAATCCTCGCTGCCATATCTCCAGTGGGTGTTTGGGGGAGGGAGGTCTTTGCCTCCTTGCACACCGTTGGCTCGTGGCCAAAATCTGGGAAGATGTGGTGTAGGACCAAGACACGCAGCAGGAAAACAGTTAGTCCCTCCCCCCCACCCCCAGTGTAATACGTGTATGTGTGTGTAATATGTGAGTGAATAGTGAGAGAGACAAGGCAATGCTTACATGGGAGGCTTTGAGGTGGACACTGAAATGTACTGCCCCTGGCCCGTGCCCTCAGCCTGCTGATGATCTGGTTGAGTTTGAGGTGCGGAGCCGTTGCTGATTTTTGCAGGCTGGCAACGGGTGAGAACTGTAATTGCCAACAAACAAGGCCTGTGGGCGGGACTCTGGTCCCGTTGACCTTTGATTCCCCCTTCGTTTGCTGCACCTGCCCAGCGCTTCCATGGTCCCTCCGTTAGTTGTTTATGTATCACAGTTTTGTTTTTTTGTTTTTTAAACTTAGGTCTCTTCGGACTAGTCTTTTGTTTGTTTGTTTTTGTGTTTTTTTTAAATATACTTTATTGATTTTTTACAGAGAGGAAGGGAGAGGGATAGAGAGTTAGAAACATAGATGAGAGGTAAACGTCTATCAGCTGCCTCCTGCACACCCCCCTCCTGGGAATGTGCCTGCAACCCAGGTACATGCCCTTGACCGGAATCGAACCTGGGACCTTTCAGTCCGCAGGCCAACGCTCTATCCACTGAGCCAAACCAGTCAGGGCTATGTATCACAGTTTAATTACCATTTCCTTTACTTCATCTTCTCTTTATCAACGCCTTGGTCTCTTCCTCAGGAAGTGCACGTGCCTAAGATCAATTAGTTCTTGTCCTTTTAACCTCTGGCTGGGGTCTTTCTGTCCCTGAACCTCACTAGGGTCTAAAGGAGTTCTGTTTGGGGGTTCTAGCCTCATGATTTGGGGGAAGGGGGCATTCCTAAGCCAAGGAACCTGTTCTAAAAGGAGATCGAAGCCTGCTGGACCCAAAAACGTAAGAGGCAATTGAGATGCTTGGGAGGAGCTTGATTCAAAAGAAAAAAAAATAATAATGCTCTTTTTCTGTTCTCTTTCCATGAAAATTCATCCAGTGATCCCAAGGAAAGCTCTAAAGAGAAGCTATGACTGTGTGGACGGTGACTTGGTAAATATCATCACTCTTACTCCCACACTGGTTATTAAAGCCAGTATTTGGCCACCACTGGAACATTTAGGTGCTGCTCCTATGGGGTTAAAGATGACTCACTTATCTCCAGTGGTCAGATCTCACTGCTTTCTGTTACAACAGTGCAAGCCAGTTCAAACCACTTACTATCTCTATTTTACAAGTCAAAGAAAGTGACCACTGGAGATAAAACACTGTTTGCCGGCCTTAGGTTTATTTTAAATTGTTGTTTAAGTTTTACTATGGGTATTTTAAACGTATGATAAAGTAGAGAGACTGGAAAAATGGCTCCTCCAAACCTCAGGCCAGCATACTTACCCTGCTTCAGCAATTAGCAACATAATGGCCAGTCCTGTTTCATCTGGTCCCGCCTTTCCATTATTTTAAAGCAAATCCAGATAGCTTATCACTTTCATCTGCACATACTTTATTTTAGTATGTATTTCTTTTTTAAAAAATATATTTTATTGATTTTTTTACAGAGAGGAAGGGAGAGAGATAGAGAGTTAGAAACATCGATCAGCTGCCTCCTGCACACCCCCTACTGGGGATGTGCCTGCAACCCAAGTACATGCCCTTGACCGGAATTGAACCTGGGACCTTTCAGTCCACAGGCCGACGCTCTATCCACTGAGCCAAACCGGTTTTGGCTAGTATGTATTTCTGAGAAAGCTTTTCTCCAAAACAGAACCGTAATTCCCTACTTCTACCTAAAACAAATCCCTTAAGCTTGGCAAAGATGCAGTAAGCATTCAGATATCCTTGACTGGTTCCTATTGGACAGTTGGTTTGTTGGAATCAGAACTCTGGTCTACCCAACTTGATTTGACTGGTTTGTCTCTTAAGACTTCTCCCTACCCTGGCCGGTTTAGCGAAGTGGGTAGAGCGTTGAACCTAGATAAAGGGTCCCGGGTTCGATTCTGGTAAAGGGCACTTAGTACATCGGTTGTAGGCTCCTCCCGACTCGGGCCCTAGATGGGGCACGTGCAGAGTGCAGGAGGCAACCAATTGCTGTGTTTCTCTCACATAGATATTTCTGCCTTTCCCTCTCTCTTCTACTCTATCTCTAAAAATCAATGGAAAAATATCCTTGGGTGAGGATTTCAAAACAAAAAACGTCTTCCTTCTTTAACCCTTTTCTCGTTGCATATATGTTGAAGAAACCAGAATCTCCTGTAAAATGTCCCGCATTCTGGATTTTAATGACTGCAATCCTGTGTTGTCATTTACCACTTTCCTCTGTCTGTCCTACTTCCTGAAACTGGTAGCTATGGTTGTATATAGGAATTTTCTGAGATTGGTCTACTAGTCCTGGTCTGAGAAAGGTATTTGAACGAATTATAAATCAAGTCATGCCCCCCCCCCACCCCCGAGCTGGTAAGAGAGGCCATCACTATTGTGCCCCTGATCTGAACTGGGAAATCTCACCATTAATCCCAGAAGAAACTCATCGTTTCATGTACCGTTTCATGAACAACACAGGTTGGAACTGCGCGGGGGTCCACTTACACAGGGAGTTTTCCATTGGCCAGCACATTTCCAACCCGCAGTGTTCAGGGTCAGCCATCTGTGGTGTGTTTGGCTTTCCAAGTGTGGGTTGATCTAAATATTGTTTCTTGGCTTTGCTGGAAAACAGGACTGTTACGACCTGAGAGGCCGGCGGAACGCTTTCCTCATGTGTGTGAAGAAGAACAGGCCAGGGTCTGACCGGGATGTTGTTCTAATGAACCAATGGCTTAGCCAGTGCCAGTTTGAATATACGTCTTGCATCGACCCTGACAAAAAGGTAACAAAAACAAAAGTGAAAAATTGTAGCTGGGATTTTATAACCTTCCTTTTTTTAGATAAATAGTTGGGCCCGACTGGTGTGGCTCAGTGCTTGAGCTTGGGCCTATGAAGCAGGAGGTCACAGTTCGATTCCCAGTCAGGGCACAAGCCTGGGTTTCGGGCTCAATCCCCAGTGGAGCCATGCAAGAGGCAGCCAATCAATGATTCTCTCTCATCATGGATGTTTCTATCTCTCCCTCTCCCTTCCTCTCTAAAATCAATAAAAAATATATTTAAAAAAAAATTGGGGGTTTAGTGCCTTGGCAAGAACCAGGACCGGCTGAGCAGTGACCTGTATATCCTGATGAAATTGTTGGTACTTTTATTTTTATATATTTATTTTTATTTTTTATTTTTTGTTGTTGGTACTTTTATAATCAGATGTGTGACACCCCAACCCCCTTCCAGTCAACCAGGTCCTCTTGGGTTTCAGTCTTAGCTGGGGCTGTGTAGTTGAAGAGGGAAAGGGAACTCAAGAAGATGTCCTAGGCAACATGGACAAGGAGGCCCAAGGATGAGCTGTGAGTCCAGAGTGGGCAAGGTTCAGGACATCTGGGAGAAGGGAAGACCAAGAAAATCGGTTTGAGAGGTCAACAGGAGGCCAGGTCAGGGATTTCAGCAACACTGGAGCCCCTGGGCTTTGAAAAGTCCTTGTGGGACTTACCTGGAACCATGTAAGAGGTGGGTCACTGAGATCCTGGGCAGAACTGCATTGTGACTTAAGTAGATGACTGAACTGGGAAATCTCACCGTTAATCCCAGAAGAAACTCATCGGTGGGTCACTGATCCTGGGCCCCCACCAGGGCCGATTCTCGAGGCCCATTCAGAAGGAAACCAAGTGAAGGAAACCAATAAGATTGATGAGCAGTGGGGCGGATGGGAACTCCATGTTGATCTCTGACCCTAGCTCACTAGTGGCCTAGAGTTGCCATTATTGTGGGACAGGACATAGGAAAACCCTTCAAGATCCCAGGAGTCACTACTAGTGAGCATCAGGGAGCAGCTGCGAATGCAGTGTGGATGCCAGAGTTGGAATCCTGTCTCTTACTGGTGTGTTACGGTATATCTGGTTCTCAGCTGAAGGTGACTTTGTCCCCCAGAGGACATTTGGCAATGTGTGGAGACATTTTTGGTTGTCACAACTGATAACAAAAATGGGGAGGGGGGACTATTTCCTTAATAAATAAAAAGTGCCTACAAATCAAAAAGGAAAAAACCTCAACAACCCAAAAGAAAAATGGGCAAAGGATATGGAAAGCAGCAAGTGGTGTCCAGTGGGTCGAAGCCAGGGAATGCTGCTAAGCATCCTGCAATGCCCAAGACAGCCACCTGCAGCAAAGAATGTTCTGGCCCCAAATGTCAATAATACAATTGCTTTAGAAACCTTGCCTTAAATTATTTGACTACTAATGGATATTTTTCCATTGATTTTTTTAGAGAGAGTAGAAGGGAGGGGGAGAGATAGAGAGAGAAACATCGATGTGAGAGAGACACATCACTTGGTTTCCTTCTGAATGGGCCTCGAGAATCAGCCCTGGTAGGGGCCCAGGATCAAGCCTGCAACCGAGGTACGTGCCCTTGACCAGACTCGAACCCCTGGACCCTTCAGTCCGCCGGCCGACACTCTATCCACTGAGCCAAACCAGCTAGGGCTCATTGACTATTTCTTATCTTTACAATGGGGGCGATGATAGTAAATTCTCTTGTGGGGTGCTTGTGAGGATGAAATAAGCTTCTGTATGTAAAAGTTCTCAGAATAGTAGCTGACTTATAGTTAAGTGCACATATCAGTGTTGATTTTATTATTCCAAAGCTAAAAACAGGCTCCTTCATTTGTCCCAAGGATTGTACCAGAGTCTATTCCGAGTTACATGATTTTTCATCAAGTCCCTTCCATTCAGATGGCAGATATTGCTAATGTTCTTTTGGTTTATTCTCTTAAAGATCTGGATGTAGCCCCTTTCTCTATATCCTGTCAGCATTCATTTGTAAATATTTCGTAATCTTACTGGCAAAAGAATTTCACTGTTTTAAGTTTCATTTTCTAGGTCATTAGTTCGGTTGAACATCTTTCGGCCATTTTTTTTTTCCTTCTGTGAAATATCTGTGTCTTTTTCCCCACTGGACTTTGTTTGTTTTTTTTTT